AATTGCACGCAGTACTCTAACTGTGGTCTGACCAGCGCCCGATAGAGGGGAAGTATCACCTCCTTGGACCTATTCGTCATGCATCTGCTGATGCACGATAAAGTGCCATTAGCTTTTCTGACGGCTTTTGTCACACTGCCGACTCATGTTCATCTTGGAGTCCACTAGGACTCCAAGATCCCTTTCCACTTCCGTGCCACCCAGCAGGTCATTCCCTAGGCTGTAGGTGTGCTGGACATTTTTCCTCCCTAGGTGCAGCACTTTGCATTTCTCCTTGTTGAACTGCATTCTGGTGTTTTCTGCCCACTTGTCCAACCTGTCCAGGTCTGCTTGCAGCTGTTCCCTGCCCTCCGGCGTGTCCACATCTCCCCATACCTTTGTGTCATCTGCAAACTTGGACAGAGTACATTTCACTCCCTCGTCCAAGTCACTGATGAAGACATTAAAGAGTATCGGTCCAAGGACCGAGCCCTGCGGGACCCCACTTCCCACACCCTTCCAGGTCGAAACCAACCCATCCACCACGACTCTCTGGGTGCGACCCTCCAGCCAGTTCGCCACCCACCGGACTGTGTAGTCATCCAAGTCACAGCCTCTTAACTTGTTCACCAGTATGGGGTGGGATACCGTATCGAAGGCCTTCCTGAAGTCTAACTATATGACATCCACCCCTCCTCCTGTGTCCAGGCGTTTCATAACCTGGTCATAAAAAGAAACTAGATTGGTCAGGCACGATCTGCCTGCCACGAACCCGTGCTGGTTTCCCCTCAGCATAACTTGTCCTGCTGGGCTCTTACAAATGTGAGCCTTGATAATTTTTTCAAAGACTTTGCCAAGGATGGAGGTGAGACTGACTGGTCTATAGTTGCCCGGGTCCTCCTTCCTCCCCTTTTTGAAAATGGGGACCACGTTGGCCCTTTTCCAGGGCCAACATGGGGAGGAAGGGGAGGAAATGTGTGTCAGTATTTGGAATTTTCTTTTTATACATAGCACTGGCCAAAAAAAAGTCAAAGATTATCTTCCATTTAAAAAAATAAAATTAAATTGAAAACATCTTAACCGAAACCCATTAATAGCTCTGCTCTGAAATACTACTCCAGGCCCTCGTTCCCCTCTGTGTGCAGAACTACACCTCCCATGGTACACCAAGGTCAATCCTCTTGGGGTGGGGGGAGAAGGGAGAGAGAGGAAGTGGCCTACCCTGCAATATAATATAATGCAGCTTGGGCTGCTGAGAGAAGGGGTGGGACTCAGGAAATGCTGTAAGTAAAGTTCAGGAAGGGAAATCATTACTTTTTGCATAAAAGTGAGCATCAGAGATCAGAAACTAAACTTATTGGACAGTCTTTTGGGAAGCCATGGCTGGCCTGAATCCTCTAGAACGACTCCAAGAAGAAGCAACCTGTTCCATCTGCCTGGTTTTCTTCAATGACCCCGTGTCTCTCGACTGTGGGCACAACTTTTGCCGAGCCTGCATCGCCCAGTTCTGGGAGGGAGTGGGAACAGATCATGAGACTGTCTCTTGCCCTCAGTGCAGAGAGACATTTCAGCAAAGAAACCTCAGGACAAACAGGCAACTGGCGAACATTGTGGAAATAGCTAAGCAGCTGAGTGTGCAAACAGCGGGGGGGACAGAAGGAGAAGCAAAGTGCAAGGAACACGGGGAGACTTTCAAGCTCTTCTGTAAGGACGATGAAGCCTTCATCTGCGTGATCTGCAGAGAGTCCCGGGATCACCGCACTCACAAGGTGTTCCCAGTAGGGGAGGCTGCCCAAGAGTACAAGGTAGGCATCTGCTGTCCAGTCTGACTACTTCTGTTTAGGACTATTTGCGTTTGTATGTTGCTGTAATGCTGACACACCTCCATGGTAGCTGGGACCTGGGTAGCTGCTCTACAAATGCATAACTATAGACATTCCCTACCCCCAAGATCTCAAGTGTGAACTCATCAAGATAGACATAGTGTGGGGGAAGCAGAGGTGCACAGAAGCAGTGTCTTGCCTAAGCAGATCAGAGATACAGCTCCCTCTCACCCCACTCCAAGAGCAAGAGAGAGGTACTAGGCTGCCTTCATCCAGTGTGGGTTTCAGCCTGCACTTCCTTGACTTCATGGCATAATGACCCAGCAGCATCCAACCTTTGGCAAAAGTTTTGCAAGCGGCCCAGGAAGAGTCTACCTGGCATGCAGCAAATCAGGGTGGAGGCAGGCAGCACAAACGGCAGATAAGGCAGGGAGCAAAGGACAAAAAGCAGAAAGCAGAGGAGAGGATCATGCAGGGAGCAGAAAACAGCAGAGGAGATCAGACAGAGGAAGGGGATTCCAGTGCCACTTGAGGAGGGCATGGGGCTAATTTGCTGTATGCGTTCCCAAATGATTGGCCCCCATTGCTCTGACTACTAGGTAACAGGTTATGATTTAACTTGCTTCTCTCCAGTCTACTTCTTGAAACTGGTCCATAAGGCAGCCAAGAGAGAAAGATATGTGGGATCAGTAAGAATAGAGTAAGCCAGTGGGTTTGTGGGTGAGTGAGATGGATACTGTCCTGGGTGGGTGGGATTCTTGGAGTCTAGCCTGGACTGTCATTTCTAGTGGGACAGAAACTACTTGCCATCCATTTTGTCTAATACATATTAGATGCAAATGGCTGAGCTTCAAGGGTGAGGAATGGAGATGGATCCTAATAATGCCTAAACTGTAGTTGTGGTTACAGCACTGTGCTAGGGAGCCAGAGATGCAGTTTAAAACTCCTATTCCCACTGCATCAAAAGAGACCTATGCCTAAATTGGGCTGAAATATGGAAGTTCCCCCATTTTTTTCCAGTGTGTCCTCAGGGAGCTGCAGAGGGTAATGCTGTTTTTATATCTGTGCTTAAATACCAGAAACTGCACTTATACTATGCAGTGGTGTTTGCACTATTTAGGTGTGTGAGAAGACATAGGAATCTACACTCAGTTACTGGATCATTTTCATAGGATATGAGACCAGGTCCAGGACCCACCTTTCCCTGAGAGCCTATAGATCTCCAGGAGCTCCCTTGCCTCTATACTATAAGCTAGTCAGGAGTGAAATAGTGGGTAGGGGAGCTTTCAGCTTCTCTGTCAGAAGCGGTTTCCATTGTGTGTGGAAGAAAGATTAATTGGGCCAGTGTGACTGTAAGCCCAACCTGCTCACCTGGGAGAGGGAACTGTGGGTATGGATAAATGTATATTTTAGCTATGGGGAGTGGGGGGAGTTTGAGTTGGACAGTGAACAGCAGCTGTTGCAATCTCACAGTTACATTTGCAGTGTAGTAGCTCAAGCTAAAGCACCCCAACTATAACCCTGGATGAAACTGGAGTGGTTTGGTGCCCCGTGCAGTGAGTGAATGGGCAGCAGTGGCATTGCTGAATATGGTGGGGGAGGGACAAGGACAGGAGCCAGAAGCAGTGGAGAGCTAAGGGCAAGAGGGATGGTGAGGGATTACCAAACACTAGGAACTGTTCAGCCTTTAGAGGACAAGACTACAGTCCATCTGTGAGATCAGGAACTCTTTTGCAAGTTTTGACACAGAATTAAGGTATGTCTACAGTCCCCTGCTGATTACCCTTTAAATAGAAAGTTAAGGTATATTCACTTACAGTTGCTTAATGATCACCACCCAGTCAGAAAAGAGGCAGGCGACAGATCTGCTGCCTAACTTTTTATTGTTATACCCAAAAAACCCAAGAAGAAACCTTTATTCCAATGCCTAGCTTGCTACCCTAAAAGATAATACAGCTTCTTACCTATACCAGCAGGGGAGACTCAGGTGGGAGGTGGCACGCAAACTGACAGTGGCTTTCTTCAATTTTGTGGAGCTCTCCCATTTTTCCTTGCACTTCATGGCTTATATTTATGGATATCGTGTTTCAGTATTTTAATTAATGCTGTCTGATTGGTTTAATTGGTCTTCAATACCAATTTCTTTTTTTCGCTGAAACTATTGAGACTGAACTGAACCTTGTGGTATTCAGAAAGTTACAGTTTTGTAACGGAGGATTTCTTGTCTTCCTTCCTCCCCATCATGGAAGGCTGCTCGTCACCACCCTATTTTCTTTCCACCTCAGTTTCTGCTTTTCACTGCTAAGGCTGCTTTGTTTCTACAGCATATTGCACAAACTTCAAACTTGTATCCAGATACATTCAGTTATCATCCTTTGCTGCCCTTTTTTTTTTTGAAACTACAGCAATGATATATGGACTGTATATATGTAGATGGACTGTCCTCTCTCAGGGGATGGACACTAATGTTCAAACCTTCATTCTCTTTTTCTCTCTCTCTCTGAATGCTTCATCCCAGCCCAGTGACTCTTTCTTCTCCCTCTGTTTTTTTCCTCAGGAATATCTTCAAACCCAGATGATGCCTCTGAAGAAAAAAAGAGAAGACCTTATGAAGTACAAACTGGATGGAGAAAAGGAAAGCCTGAAATGGCTGGTAGGTATCCACTGCTATTACCTGGCAGGTATATGAGAGTTAGCAGGAACCTGTAGCCCACTGGTTAGGACACCCTGTCTGAGGGGGGCCTGCTCCGGGAATGGCGCACAGAGCCGTCCTTGGATAAAATACATAGGCACCGTGGGAGCAGGGCTTCACTCTCCCAGGACAGCATACCAACTATAAGGCAACAGTCAAACTCACACTTTGCATCCACTCACTTGCCTACTGAATCCTAAATTATTACCAGTAAAATGAGACAGCTTGAACAGGAGGGTCAGAGAGGCCCCGACTGAGGACTTGCTTAGCCTGCCTGATGGCTTGGTGCTTAGGGCATTTACTTGGAAGGAGAGAGAGACGAGAGGATTCACACTCACAAGCAGAAACAGGGCAAAACCCCTTTTTCCAACCTCCTGGGCAAGTGCTAAAGGGTCCTAGACTCCCTCAACATCACCGGAGGAGTCATAAGTGTTGGGCGCCCTCCACTTAGGTGATCTGCATGCATACAGTGTCAGGATGTCATCTGTGCTGCTGCTGGTGCTTCAGACTGTGTGTTTCCTGAAGACCTCTTTGTTGTAGGAAGAACAACTGTTAGCTTTATTTAAGTGACAGAAGCTTAGCCAAACTTATATTGTCTACAAAACATACATTGTCTATGAGGTGCCTAGTCATCCACGTGCCCAGCCAGCAGGTACAAGGTGTTAGGCAGGACACTTGCAACAATGTATAGACATACTTTGCAGATGGATGTGCTCCCTGTGACAGAATGGGCCTGAGGGCTGCCATGATGTCCCTTGTGGGTGACCCTAGTACTGCCCCTACTCCAGGTCTTCTGTATAACCCCCCTTTCTACCTTGCCTGCCACCCCTTACATGTTCTTTTGATGTTGATTGGGAGGCTGCCCTTGGGTCTGGCGTGATCTCCTTGGTGCCCAGCAGACTTGCTCAGTCTCTGGGCCCTCCGTCTACTTACAGAAATGTGCTTGTTTCCTGAGGATGGCCTGCATGTCCAGTTGGAAATATTCATACCTTTCTGGCAGTACTTAAACTTGGCAGTCATCACTCACGACCCTAGGGACTCTAAGCAAACCTTAAGGGCTCCAATCATGACCTCCAGCCTCCCCCCAAATACACACCCATGCCTCATGGATGTCACTCGGTAGTCTTTGACTCTCCTGTATGTGCTTTGGTCCTCTTGGCCTTGGCCTGCAGGTTACTCTGTCTGTAAGCCTCTAGGCTGAGCCCACTTGCTTTAGTCCAGCTTCTTGGCCCGTTTTTCTCTTTCTTGGGGCTCAAGCTCTGGCCCCGGTCTCCCTCTTTTTTTTTCTATCTCTCTAGCACCTCTGCTCCTAGCAGGGCTCAAAACCTGCAATGCCTGTCAGGCACCCCTGAATGGCCACCTTACTGCCCCTATCACCACCACCAGTCCTCTGGTCATTAAACTTAAACACATTACCAAAAAAAAAAAAAGGCACAGCCTATCCAGGTACTCCCAAATCAAAGGAATAAGCTGAACTCAAATCCTCACGGCTCTGAACAAACAAAGAACAAAAAACAGGCTTCTTCACCTGCATGCCCAAGCTCATGCCACTCCTGGCTCTAAAGCAACCTGCTTGGGAGGTCCTCATCTTTTCCCAATCAGGGCTATAGTGAGCCTGCTGGCTTGAGGGAGAGTCTCTTATACTGGTAAGACCCTCCCCTTCCTATTGCATGCCACGAACCCAGTGTTTTCTCATTGATCCATTCAGTCCTGCTTGGTTTCAGTGCACCCTTAGAACTGTTGGTGACTGCTGAAACCCTATCTCCTCTTCCTGTATTTTTTTGCCTACATCCCTATCCTGTTGGCCCACAAAGACGCTACTCTTAAAGGGCTCTTGCAGGCCCTGTTTGTCCCCCAGCCTGCTCCCAGTAATGGAGCAAGGGTTCCCCATCGCACCCTGCTAAGCCTAGGAGAAAGCATTAAGGGTTTCTAGGATCTCCTGTATATTCTGATCAAAACGAGTGTTATTTACAGTATACACAGCCTAGTTCTCACCAAACAATAACACTTTGTTTGCTGGGTCACCCTGATCCTTGTACATCCCTTCACTGTTTTGGGGATCTGCCCAGTCTCAGCAAGCACCCTTTATCTGGTGGCCTTGTGAGGAGTCTACACAGCCTAAGAAGCTAACTTTCCCAGTGTCTTCTGATCTTAAGCCATATACGGTAATTCCTGATTATGCTCTTATTGGGGCCTGCTTTGGTCAGAGCAGAGCCTTTGTATGTGAGCTGTATATGTACTGATCAGTGATAGTATTCATCAGTGTTCAAGTGAGGCCTACACAGGGTACCATATAATACTGCTCTAGCCATGTCTTAAAAGGATGATCCTTACTTGATGCTTAAGGAAATGGTTGATGGATTTTCCCTTTGCAAGAAGGCTTTGGGCTATAGATCCTGAATGGATTATATGAATCACATCAATATCAACAGTATGTCCTGTCAGCTGATTCTTGGTGGCTGAATGCTGATTGTGGTACCTGGGAAGCTCCTCATTAGTGTGCTGACTGCTGGGGGCCTCTTCCATGGCACACAACTCTCCCCATCCATGTAGGGTTGTGGATTCCACTTCAGGGACCAGGCACCCAACAGGTAAGAGTTGAAAGGACTCACACTTGGGCAATAAAGTCCTTTTTTGGATCTGGTTGCTCCTCATCTTTGAAAATGTTATGCCTTCTCTGATGCTTTCACCCTATCCAAAATATGTCTATTATCTGCAGGGCATGGTTGACATTTCTGGGAACTTTGTGTTTTTAATGAAATAAAACAGTCCCTCTGACACACACATGGCTCTGTGAAGGCTGTCCTGTCTTTTTCTAGGCCCCTTCCATGTCCTTTCTCTGTGTGTCTCATTTCAGGAAAAGACAGAGGCTGAGAGGCAAAAGATTGTACTGGAATTTCAGAAACTACGGCAGTTCCTAGAGGAGCAAGAGCAACTCCTGCTAACTCAGCTGGCTAAGCTGGAGAAGGAGATTGTACAGAGGCAGGGAGATAGTATCACCATCCTGTCAAAGAATATTTCCCAACTTGATAACCTCATCTGTGAAATAGAGGGGAAGTACCAGCAGCCAGTGAATGAATTCCTGAAGGTGAGGCTCTCAGAAATATCCCAGATCCTTGCAAAAAAATGAAGGAATTTCTGATTTAGCAGTGCTTAATCTGTTAAATTCTCTGTGGTGATAGACCCTACGGTGGGAGGTTGAGAGAGCTGAATCTCTTCAGCCTTCACAAGAGACGGCTGAGGGGAGATCTTGTGGCCACCTATAAATTTATTAGGGGAGGTCAACAGGGAATAGGGGAAGCGCTGTTTACTAAATCACCCCAGGGAGGGACTAGGAATAATGGGTGTAAACTAGTTGAGAGTGGATTTAGGTTAGATATTAGGAAGAAATTTTTCACAGTAAGGGCGGCCAGGATCTGGAATGGGCTTCCAAGAGAGGTGGTGCTATCACCTAGCTTGGAGGCCTTCAAGAGGAGGCTAGATAGGCACCTGGCTGGGGGCATCTGACCTCGGTCCTCTTTCCTGCCAGGGGCAGGGGTCGAACATGATGATCCATTGTGGTCCCTTCCGACTCTACAATCTATGAATCTATGAATCCCTTACTCCATCACTGCTAGCATCAGCCTATTCTATAGCAAAGCTGGGGAAGATAAAATATAGAATTTCTGAGGCGGAAACAAAAAGATTTTTGCTTTATTAAAAAAAAAATGCTTGTGCCTTTCTAATAGATCATATAGGAACATCTAACAGGGTGGCCTGTTCATTTAAGAGGGGGCAGTCAACCCTGTTGAATAGCTGTGGGGAGGCTACTGATAAGACAGTTGTTCACTTGGTGCAGACATTACATTTTTACCAATCTAAATGATCGGAAACTGGTCTATACCTGTAACAGAACAGATGTTTGGCACACACAAACTGGTTTAAAAATGGCAGGACCGGACCTAAACTACACCAGTTACAGAAAACTGCGTAACTTAGATCAATGCAGCCTTGGGCTTTTTGAGTGCCTGTGTCTTAAAAACCCTCAGAGAAAAGAGCAACAAGGCAGTGAAATGTGAAGGAATAGTCATGAGCCAAGAAGCAAGCAATGAGCTGAACAGCTGGCTGCATAGAGGGGCAAGACTGCACTGCTAGGGTCAGAGCCACAGGGGTCCCTTCCCAGTATCCAGGACAGAACAGCGGGATTTTATTTGCTTGATTGCTTTGTTTAAAGCCTGTTTTATTAGTGTGGACTGGCTGAGGGGCTCCTGGTGGAAAAGCCCATTTGGAGAAGTCAGCAAGCAAGATAGTCTGCTTAGAAAGCAGTGGAAATAACAACTCCATTATAGGGGAAGTGGAAGATAAACAAATTAAAGAGGGTTTTTTGGGTCTTGTAAAGAAATGGTAACTAGTTAAGTCTCCCAAATTAGTTCCTGAAATTTGTGATGCAGGATACTTAGCTAGGGAAATGCAAACAATACACAAACAGCAGATGAATGTGCAGATCCTCAGGACCTTATTCCTCTAATCAGTGCATTTGAGCACAGTAATTAAAGTGAAGGTGCCATCAGTACAGAAAAAAGTAGGGGGCTTTTGGGGTGTTTTACCTGTGGCTCAGAGTGCACATTTAGGCACCTCATTACAATTAGTCCATCATTCGAAGTTGGTAGCTATAGAGAAATGCATATTTGGTAGTAATGGCAAAGTATTTCTCATCCAAAGTAGGACCTCTCCCCGCACTGATCCTCAAATTATGTGGCATGTTGGACTGAGCTCCCTCTTTTCTCTCTCTCTCCTCTCCTCTCTAGGATATCAAGAGCACCTTGAGCAGGTATGTGGCTCCTTCTCCTTCCCAGTATCACTTGATATGATATGGGCAACATCTTTTCCAGTGCGCAAAGGGAAAATCAGGCTTGTTACAAACTGGAATATTGAACTGTTTTAAGAGTGCCGTTATCTCTTAATTGTGTTGGCATCCAGATCTTGCTTGACCATTTTTGGAAAAGAAAGGCAGTAAATAGAGAAATATTTTTTCCCCCTTAGATGTAAGACGGTGCACTTTAAGAAACCGGTGTTCATGCCTCATGACCTGACTGTCCAGCTCAGCAGCTCTTCTCAAACAAATATTTATCTGCAGGAGGCACTGACAAAATTCAAAGGTAATCACTGCTTAGACTGTCCTGACTAGGTCAGGAGATGGACTCTGACCTAATAATTCCTAATTATAGGCAGGGATGGATGTGTATAGTGGGAAAGTTCAAGGGCTGATCCCAGTTCTCTATGTCTCCAATTGGATTATTTTAGAATAGTGGTTATCGACCAGGGATTGATGAGACCTTTCAGCGGTGGGTGATGCCACAGCCAAAGTACTATGCCCCACAAACCTCCTGCAGAGGCAGTTTGGGAAACACCTGCAGCTGGACACCCCTTTCTTTCTGCAGCCCTTCTTGGTCTAACCGCACATGCTTCTGCTGGAAACAGAGGTATGCTGGGTAGGTGGGAACTATCCCACACCGCTCAGTTTCTAGGAGGGGAATGTGGGGTCAGACCAGGAAGGGCTGCAGGAAGAGCACGTGTTCTGGCCTCAGCCTTTTGCACTAACCCTCTGAAGGGGTCAGGCTGGGTTGTGGAGCAGCCTTTTGCACTGCTTGTCCTAGCGAGGCTGGGAGCAGGGACACCCAGGGCAGAGAAGATGACCCCTTTCCACTCCTGCAACACCCTAGGGGCACAGGGGAGTTTTGCCCAAGGCACAGAACTCTTTAGTTATACCTCTGCTCCTACCTCTTTTAGGTTTATTAGAAAACACTAGCACTGGCAGGAGTTCCCAGTGCCACACTGGTTGAGAAGCACGGGGTAAACAGTGACAGTACAAGAGTGGTCCTCAACAGGGTGTGCCACCACATTCAGGAAGTTGAGGGGATGTTGTGGATCTAGAAAGGTTGTCAACCACTGACTCTGGCTGTCAAAATGGCCACTCAGCATTTTGAGTACCCATCACCAGCTGTTTGAACAGTGTTGATTTTCACCTAAGTGTTTGGGGTCTTCAAAAAAACTCAGCTCCCACTAGTTTCACAGCTTCTGTAAATGTTTTCTACCATAGAAGAATAAGAAAAAATAGCTTGTCATGGTGGTTAAGGAATGTTCCACAAGTAACGGTAACTTAACCATGCTAAAAAGTTCTTTCCACTTCCGAGTCCCCCTCTCATATAGCCTTTTCCTTCTGTCGGTGTTTCAGAAGGGCAGCATGGCTGCATGAATTCAAATGGACTGGTGGGAGGCTGTGGTGGTCACAGCACCACAGGGAAACCCAAACTCTCTTTCCTGCTGTGCCGCAGATTTCTGGTGTCCTCTTGACTAAGTCCCGTAAGGCTGAATGTCTAGGGGAACTCAGAACATTTGAGTCAGATGCTCAGACTCCTCATATCATCCACGGGAAGATTCAGGGTATGGGGCAGACAAACAAGATACTGGAAAGTAAGGTGCCTGTATATGTGCTCTTACCAAATCCAGGTCTCCCACATTCTGGATTGGTGCCCTAACCACTTATATATTGGATAGAAGGGAGTGTGTGCACCACCTCCTCCACACATCTTTTTGTGGAGCCCCTATGGGCAGGCATCCTCTTGGCAGAGGATAGCCTTGTTAATGAATCCTGGTTGAATTAAATGTGATCTAGGCACCGAGCTGCTCATCAGTTGCAAGACATGGGTATTTCTGCATGTGTCCAGGAGCACAATGTCGGCCCCTTTGGAAACCCTTAATGTCAAGAATTGCCGTGTCTATGGAGTTCGGAGGACTACAGGGTGAGGGGTCCTGAGGATCTCCATTTTCAACTTCAGCCCCTAGGTTAATAGTTTTTCTCTACCTCTTATGCTGGGTTAAGTACAA